TGGGTAGCGAGGGCTCCACTGATTTTGAAGAAGGACTGCTCCCCTCCTGAGCCCAGCTCGCCATGGTTACAAGGAGCAGAATTGAACGAGACACCTTTGGGTGTTTTTCAGGTGGAGGTGTGTGAGGTCCCTGTTTGAGGGCAGAGCCAAAATATATATCATATGCTTACAGAAATAAGAGGCATGTGGTAAAGTTTTTCCAATGGTGCAGTCCCCCTGTGCCTTGGTTTTCTGTAAATACTATAAATGTTGTATACACAGGGGTGTTACACACAAAGGATGGTAGAGTTGTCAGTGGGACTGGCCTACATGGGGATGGTGGGTGACTGGGATGGTGAATGGATGTGAGTGGGTGAGAGATGGATATTTAGATGGTTATGAGGGGGTGGAAGGATTGATGGGTGGCCATGGATGATGGATGGATGGATGGATGATGGATGGATGATGAGTGAATGGCTGGGAGGATGGATAGATGGAAATATGAATGACAGGGAAGATAGAGATATGGGTGGGTGGATGGGTGGATGGATGGTTGGATCAGTGGATGGATGGGTGGATGGGTGGATGGATGGTTGGATGGACGGATAAGTAAATGGACAAATGGACAATAGATGGATAGATGGTCATGTAAGTGATTGTGATGGTGGGTGTGAGGAAGGATGGATGCAGAGGTGTGTGGGAAGACCGAGGGATGGCTAGATGAGTGAAGGGATAGATAGTAGATGGATAGACATTCCACGGGTAATTGTGAGGAGGGATGGATGGGTAGTGGGTATACATGCAGATGAGATAAGAGGATAGACACAGGTGCATATGTAGATGGAGGGAGGTGGGGGTTGGATGGAAGGATATGTGGATGAACAGAGAGATGGGTGAATGGAGGGTGGGATTTCAGATGGGTAAGTAGATGTGATGTTTTTGGCTTTTTAACATTAAAACTTCAGGCACCTTCTGTTAGCAGTGAGAGACCTGGTGGGTCAAGTGTACAGCAGGCACCCTGGCCTGGTAGACAGAACCCCAGCTTGAGGCACCCCCCAGCGACCTTGAGCAAGTCACTCTGTCTGAGCCTCCATTCTCCTCTCTGAATGAGGAGCTGGCTCATCGGCTTCGGAGCACCCTCTCTGTCCCCTGCCTCCTGGGCAGGAGTCCACTCTCTGCCTCTCTCCCTGCCCACAGTAGGCCTTAGCCCTGGCGCTCCCCAGGGCCGGTAGCATGCTGGCCTGTGGTGCAGCCGGCAGGTGGCCTGCTGGGAGGCCTTCTGGAGCGAGCAGTCCATGCCAGCTCCCTAGTCGGATTTGGGTAGGTGCCTGGCCTGGTTTTGAAGCTGTCATTTCAGGACTGCAGGAGGCCCTCGGTCTGCGTGACCTTCCCTGCTGAGGACACAGCCCCCGCCTTGGCCCCAGACAGCAGCCATCTGGCAGGGGCGGCCAGTGGTGGCCAATACTATTATTTTGTTTTTGGTAAACTTGACATGTCAATACAGGTGTCTGGACCCTGCAGGGTGCCCTCCTCCTGTGTCTGCCTGTCCACTCTGCCCACACCCTCACACCTACCACCCATGCAGTGTGCCGGTGCAGCAAGGGTCCATGCGATACTGAGCGGGGAGAGGAGCCGGGCTCCCGCCATGGCTGTGGGATAACAACCACAAGAACAACAATGCTCGAGTGTGGCAGAGTCAGGTGTGGGGTCACGTCTATGTGTGCGCACGGACTTACACCACCAGTGCGAACAAGGTGGGGCTCTGCCTCCTGCTGCTGCCGACAGCCTCAGTCCCCCCGTGTGCGCGATAGGAGCACCTGCCCTACCTCCCCAGGTGGTGGTGAAAGGGGGGGCAGTGTTAGTCGCAGTTGTGCTGGTGACAAGATCCCTAAGAGCTTCTGGGTGGACATGTGACAGCCCTGGCCTCCAACTGTCCCCCTGATGCACAGGGTCCCGCCACAGGCCTGAGATAACATGTCTGTCAGGAAGGGCTCTCTTTGGCTGATTTCTGTCCAGACGGGCTCTCTTTGGCTGAATTCTGTAAGGAGCTTGCCTGGCTCCCAGGGGCTCTGAGGCTCCCTGGCTGCAGAGGGCACTCTGGCCTGGGCTCTGCCTCCCCAGGGTTGGGGTTTGGCTGGTCTCCACTGGACAGGTCTCAGGCTGTCCCTGAGCAGCCTGGCACCTGGCCAGCCTCTGGGTGGCAGTGCTGGTCCAGCTACCTCCCTGCCTCAGTCCAGCAGCTGTCCCTGCTGCCTTGGCCTTGCTCCCACACTCCAGCTCCCAGGGGCACTTCTGGAACTTTCCACCCCTAGGACATGGGGGACACTGGACTCGTGGGCCGGAAAGTAGGGCAGCAGTAAGCTCTTGTCTGTCTGAGCTTGTCAGATGTCCCAGCCACCACCAGAGGGTCCAGCTCAGCCAGGGATCTTATCAGATGGCTGGTTCACATACCAGAGGGTCCAGATCTAGCCCGCTTAGCCAGGGATCTTATCAGATGTCCCAGCCAACACCAGAGGGTCCAGCTCCAGCCAGCTCAGCCAAGGATCTTATCAGATGGCTGGTTCACACACCAGAGGGTTCAATACCATGTCTGCTCTGCCCACGGGGACCCAGCCCTGGAATCTGCCACACTCTGGGTTTCTGTTCTGCCCCTGCCCCTTCCATACTTCAGAGGTCTGTTTAGAACAGAAAAACCATGATGCCACCAAGAGAAGCCAGGCAGCAGTGGATTTGGTTTGGCTGGGCCGTGGGGAGACCCAGGGGATGAGAGAAACAGGGTCCCCGTTCTCGTACAGCTGGCCTTCTGGCTGAGGGAACCCCAATAAACACACATACTCTACATTTTCCAAGTGAGATCAGGGCTAGGGTGGTAACAGGGGAGATGACTGGAGAATGCGGGAGGGAGTTCCAGGAGGGGAACCATGAGAGGACAAGGAGCTGACAGTGTGTGCAAGGTACAGGGAACAGCATCATGGGCAGAGGATCAGCATGCGGGGTAGCTCAGAGGTGGGATGGTGTCAAGTGAGCTGTGTTTACTCGACTCTCTAGTCATCCCTGGGACTGTCCCCACAAGCAGGCCCATTACTCCACAGTGACTCAGGGGACAGACCGGCATCTCGGGAGGTGTGGTCTCTGGATGTAAGAGACTACAGTCATCAGGAGACAAAGCAGTGCTTATGGGTGGGCTCACGACCATCAGTGAAGACAACCCTGTGGGGCTGGAAGTGGACTGAGCAGGCCTAACTAGCCACAGGGATCCAGCCTCTCCCACCTCCTTCCTGTAGAGGAGTTGGTGGGGGTCCTGCTGTGAGTAGGGGGCCTTCAGTGGCTATGGAACCTGGACTACCCCTGAGGAGTATCCTGAGGGCGATGGAGGTAGTGAATGGCCTGGGAGCCGGGGTCTGTGGCTGGCAGAGGGGCCTGGTGATAGAGCGACGTCGCCCTCACCTTTCTGCTGCCCTGGTGGCATATCTGTGCGGGTGTCCCAGTCACAGTGGAGGGGTGTAGCTTCCCCGGCACCGACTGTGTAAGTGATTCTGTAACACAAGGCCCAAGGCTGGTGCCTCATCCCACGGGAAGCCCGCAGCCGGGTGGCCCTGCCTTGGCCGTCCTGCCAAGCACGCTCTGTCTCCCTCAGGTGGGCTCCGAGGGCCAGGCCACACGACTTTCGACTTTTGGCTGTACAGTGTGGCCCTGCCTCCACGCCCAGGCGCTGTTTCTAGGAGGAGCCCCCTCCCACTTTTCTTAACTGTGCATTTTCCACGGCAAATCCGCCTCCTGCTGCTGGTCTCCTGGTTCGATTAGAGCTGACACTTCTAAGCTCCAAAATACCCAAGTTGAGGGATGATGAGAAAGAGAAAAAAAAAAAAAAGTAAGAAGAGAGGCGAGCCTCGCTCAGCCCTGTCCGCCGAGCTCCTTATCGCGAGGCGCAGTCCGCCCGGAGCTTAATACCCAGCACTCGGCCTCGCGGAGCACAGCTCGCAGCAGCGCCTGGGGGGTGGGTGCCCCGAGCCGGGCCTGCGTACCCGCACTGCGTCCGCTGGCGTGGAAGGAAGCGTGCTGGTGCAAGCGGCTGCAGCGACGGTAGCCAGGGGACCCTGCTTGTCCTGGACCACTTAAGATCCATATAGATTTAAGCCCCGACACGTTCTAATCCACAGACTACGAATGTAGAGCCCCCAGGAAGTACAGGAACCCAAGTGGACACCCGAAATGGAAAGCTTGGGCTTAGGCCCCATGTGCTCTTGGACTCAGTTTCCCCAGATGAACAGGCAGCATCTAATGGCCTCCAGGATTCTCGGGGTCCAGTCTGATGGCCCAGATTTAGAGTCTGGCTCTGGGTAAGGTCTGGGAGTTCTTGTTCACTCAGGGTTCTCCAGCCATTTTCTCGAGAGTGGGGACAGGGGGGCGCAGAGAGCACAGGGTGGGCGTGCATCTTCTGACTTCTCCTGCCCCCTCCCACCCTGTGCACTGCCCTGGACTTTTGGGGTACATTTTCTGGGGGCTCCCTGGCTTCTCATTGCCTCATGCTCGTCTGTGAGCAGGGTTAAGTGGTGCTCACTATACCCCCACGTCTGAGCACTTGTCCCTTTTCTCCAGCACCTGGAGCACCCCCTTACTACTGATCCTGGAGGTGACTCACCTTCATGGGCAAAGTGCTGTCTGCCGCCTGCAGAGGCCTTAAACCGCATTCTCCTCCCTCCTCCTCTGCAGCCACCAGAGCGCAGGAGGGTCCCCACCGAAAGTGAAGGATGGAGAACTAGAGACGGACTGGAGGGGCCTCTCAGGAGCAGACCCCAGATTGGAAAACCTTCTGTGAGGCTGGGCTGGATAAAGTGCAGTGTTTCATTAGCGATGACAGAGATGGAGGGGCACTTAGCCAGCGCTGAGGTACCTGGAGAGCCATGGAGAGGGGGGCTCCCTGCCAGGCAGGGGGGAGGGGCAAGGAGACCTGCCAGAGGGGTGGGGAAGTCCCCCCACTTCCCCACCTCAGGCACATGTCCGGTGTTGAGGGGCGGGGCATGCAGCAGGTATGGACTAGGGCATGAGGAGGCATGTGGGCTGTGACCTCCCTGGTGGCAGGGAGGACCATGCCTGGCCTGGGCCCAGCGACCAGAGAATCCCATCTCTGTTGCCCCTGTGCACCATCTCCAGGATGTGGGGGAGGCTAGCAAAGTGGACAATGGAGAGATGAGCCTCCATGGAGAGACTCAGGGTTGGGAGACGGTCAGCATCAGCCCAGAAGGCCAAGGCTTTGAGATCCTGGGCAGCAGGGAAGGCAGAGGCCTGGAGCTGGGGCGCTCACTCACCAGAGGCGGGGTCTTCACAGCTGGACGAACGGTGAGTGTTGCTATTGCTATTTCTCAGGGTGCAGCATTGTTGGTGGGTTCCATAGTTGAATTCTTACCTCCCATGCAGAGACCTGGCCCCAATTCCTGATCAGCACACTTCCCAGGCAGTGTCCAGTGGTCAGCCAGTGGAGGTAGCATGTTGCTGTGAAAAGGAGAGAGGCCTGGAGACCCCTTCTAAATCAGCCTGTGAGACCCTGCGGGCCCCACGGTCCCAGTCAGCACAGTTCATGGGGCAGTGCAGGACTGGCCAGGACATCACCCACTGTGCCCGAGGTCATTGTGAGCTGGCATGGACTCTGGCAGCTGACACCATGTCTAAGAGCATTTGGATGGCCACCCACCAGCTAGAGCCTAAAGATCGTTCTTGCTTCTTAAAGATCTGGTCTGTTGTTTTCTGGGGACTGTCCTCGTGGTGGACATGCCCCAGGTGTGAGTGCCTGGACAGCGTCATCTCAGGGGACACGAGGAAGCATTCCCGTGGTCTCAGGTCTCAAGCTTTCATCTTAGTGCCATCAGTGACCCCCTCATCCCAGGCCATGGGTGACCCCTCTTCCCAGGCCATGGGTGACCCCTCTTCCCAGGCCATCAGTGACCCCTCTTCCCAAGCCATGGGTGACCCCTCTTCCCAGGCCATGGGTGACCCCTCTTCCCAGGCCATGGGTGACCCCTCTTCCCAGGCCATGGGTGACCCCTCTTCCCAGGCCATCAGTGACCCCTCTTCCCAGGCCATGGGTGACCCCTCTTCCCAGGCCATCAGTGACCCCTCTTCCAAGGCCATTGATGACCCCTCTTCCCAGGCCATGGATGACCCCTCTTCCCAGGCCATGGATGACCCCTCTTCCCAGGCCATCAGTGACCCCTCTTCCCAGGCCATCAGTGACCCCTCTTCCCAGGCCATTGATGACCCCTCTTCCCAGGCCATGGGTGACCCCTCTTCCCAGGCCGCATGGTCTCAGTGGTAGGGTTGCCTCATCATGATGTGGCCTGGGGCTCTGCACTTTTTGTTCAGTGCTTGACTTTTCTAGTTCCACATTCTGGTCCCGTCAAGGGCATGAGTGTTGCCCCAGACTGAGAGCCAAGCTTATGGACAATGCTGGGTGGGTGCCAGCCTAGGGCAGCTGATGAGAAGGGGATGAGGAAGGAGGGGGTGCCTTCCAGTCCTGGAGCAACCCTGGAGCCAAGCCATGTGCTAGGGGAGAGCTGCCAGCTCATTCTTCTCTGCCCCTCACAGTGGACCTCCCACCGGTCACCTACCCCTCAGGGAGCTAGGAGTGGGTGAGCTCCTGTGTGTCTCCTGTGACTGGGTGATGGTGTCTGTGTCCAAGCTTGACCTTTACTAGGGGCAGGCAAACAGCTGGTTGCTAGTAGATGGGGCCAGCCTGCATCAGGGCGGGGACAGAAGCAGGTGTACACACTTGGAGACCAGCTGGAGGGAGACTTCCTGGGAGTGGTGACACCCCATCAGGAGGAGGAAAGATGTTTGGGTGAAGAAGGGAGAAGAGAGGTAGGTGGACGTTCTGTCCAGAACCAGGAATGTGATCTTGTTTAGGGGACATAGGGCTTCGTTTACACAGGTCATTGGTTAACTAACGGAGCCACGCTGGAGAAGAGAGCATCCTAACCCCCTCTCCCCCAATCCCTTCTGTCTGGTCCCTGTGAAAACAGGACCCTGAGGCACAGACAACACACTGAGGGCAGATTCCAGGTGGGAAGCCCAGGCCCCCAGGCACAGGGGAGATGGGGGTCTCTAAAGCAGCTACCATGGCTGGAACCCCAATTTGGATTCAGATTTCCAGTCTCTCTCCTCTATCAATCCACCCACTTTGAAAACCCAGATGGGGCCTGGCTGCCACCAATTGACTTGCTGATGGGCTCTGGGCCGTGGGAGGAAAGGGAGGGCCGGGTTCTAGAATCACAAGCATGACCCAACTTCCTGGTCTCACAGATGCTGGGGGACCCCTGAGGCTATGGTCCTTGGACACCCCTCAGCCTTGGAACTGAACCCACCCCAGGGGATGACCACCTGGTAGCAGAGCCAGAGCCAGATCTCCAAAGTGCACACAGACACCCGGGAAGAGCATCCTCCTTGGAGTTATGGACTTAGCAACAGCAGGAGAGGATAGGAGAGTGTCAGCCTCAAACAAAGGTCAGGGACAGAAAGAGGCAGGAGTGAGGATAGGGGGGTGGAGGAAGGGGGAGGAGTGCCTTTACACCCCAGAAATCGACCAGAGTCACATACAGAGTGTGTGTGAATTGTCGAGGAAAACAAAAGTGCTCTGTACTCCTTCTTCCAAACCCCATCAATAAATAAACAGAAATAAATTCCCACCACTTTGTGATTGCCAGGATTGCCCCAGGACACTCGGACATACTTTAAATTGAGTTATTGGGGGCTTTGTTTGTTCTGGTTTTTGACAACTCTAAGTCCTCATGCCTAGACACTGTTGTTAGTGATTCTGAGCCCAGGGACCCTGGAGGACACAGTAGACTGCCCGTGTGGTTGCCCAGGTTCTTGTCTTCATGGGGTCCTAGGCTGACAGAGCCACTCTGAGAGGAGTGGAGGAGGTGCTAGGCTGATGGAGTCACCCTGAGAAGTGTGGAGGGGGTCCCGGGCTGATGGAGTCATCCTGAGAAGTGTGGAGGGGGTCCC